TCCTCATGGATCACTTGGGTTGTGTCCTTCACGCATTTTCCATGTATTATAGCCACTGCACTAGTCTGGAGGCCGAGGCACATGCTTTGTTGTATGGTCTCTAGGCTTGCGCTACACAAGGCCATACCAGGGCTATGGTAGAGATGGACTCTAAACCCCTACTCGATGCGGTTCGCAGGCAGACTCGCTGTCCATGGCGCATTGATGCTTTGATTTGACAAATCTGGCGCATAGTTCAAGAAGGGCATTTCCACCTCCTCCACATTTATCGGGAAGTTAACTCTGCCGCCGATGGCCTTGCTCGTCGCGCCAGTGCAAACCGCGTGTCTGATATTTATTGCTCCCAAAATTTGCTAGACCCAGTTAAAGGCTTCGTCGTCTTAGATAGATTGAGTTTTCCTTACTTACGTATTTCATAGCATGTACTCTTCTAGTTTCCAATCAATAAAATAAGGCATTTTTTGCAAAAAAAAAAAAAAAAAAGTAGTGTCATGGCAAAAAAAAATTACAAAAATATATCGCCATTTTCAATATGGAGGCAGAGTATATCACAACCATTGAAACATACAAAGAGACTCTTTGGTTGAAGAAATTCTTTTAAAAGTTGGGTATGAAGCAAGGGAAGTAAAGTCTTTATTGTAATAGTTCGAGTACCATTCATTTATATAAGAATTCTACATTTTACTCTCCATCCAAGCAGATTGATATGAGATATCATTGGATTCAGAAAATACTGGATTCCAAGTTGTTAATACTTGAAAAAATTCACATTAATAATAATGATTTTGATATGTTAATCAACGCATTGTTTTGGAAGAAACTCTTGTTTTGTAAAGAGGCAATTTGGTTGTGCCTCTCAAATGAATTGGAGAGGAGATTGTTGGGCTTGATTGAATCCACCTCATTTGTGAGCCCCAAAGAACAAAGCCCATAACTCAATTCGTATGCTGAGTCAAAGTTTGACTAAATGATTAGTAACCTAGGTATTTTGACTTGATGAGAAGAAAAGATTAGTCGCAACTCGCAAGTTGCATCAGCTAGATGAAGGGTCAGCCGCTATTCTTGGTGAAGAATCGAAGGGAGCGAAAGAGAGAGTTGGGGAGAAAAAGGGCCAGAGAGAATATGAAGTTTTGAAACTTTAAGACATGGTGATTTAAAATTCGATTGAGATGAAATTTTAGCCATTTGATCCTTTGTCAAGCTTTACCTATCTATCTCTTTTGATTTTGGATTTTCTCTTTGATTGATAATACTTTTTCAAATCCACTTCTTAAAAAATAGAAAATGAACTGGTAGAAATTCTATTTGGTTGATGTTGATGATGTTGCTGTCATCCTAATGTTTCAGATAGACCTATGCATTCGTATTATTGTTCCTATTATTGTGACAGTGAAATTTTTTTTTATTGGATTAGATCATGTGATTTTTTTTCCAAATTGGATTTTCATATTAAAAATCTTGGTGTTTCACACCTTTTACTTTTCTGCATTTTTATTATTCCTGTTGATTCATTGCTTGATGATTTAGGTTCTGTTTGATAAAACTGAATCTGAATTTTGAAATCTGAATACTGAAACAGTTAATTTGCTGAATTTTAAGCACTGAAAAAAATATATGAATGTCTGAATCTTAATGTTGAACCTATTTATACTTTTTGATAAACATCTATAATTGAATGCTTAATAAGCTAAATTGTACAATTTTTCCCTTCTATCTTTTCATCCAAAAAAAAAATATAACCTATGATTTAATTAGTTTAAAATTGTTAGGCATGAAAATGATAATAATTATTTTTAAATCAAATTAATTAAAAGAGTAGAAAAATAGAAAATGATAAAATTATGATAGAGTAAAAATATATGAGGTGTATAGAGAAGTTGTGAAAGTCATTAAATAGAGAGAGAAGAGACATATAAAGCCATTAGACAGAGAATATCAAGTTGTTTAATTAGATAAGGATTTTGAATATAATTAATAAACAATGGTAGATTTAGTAGATAAGATAAGGTGGTTGAAGTAAGTTGAATTAAGCATTTTTTGTCTTAGTTTTTACTATGACCAAAGTACCCATTGTCTAATAATTAGAATTATTTCATTTTAGTTATGGTAGTAATGAAATCAGTGAAATGTTACCAATTGACTCAATAATGTTAGTAATTAGAATAAAAACTGAAATGTTACCGAATGTTTCAATAATGTTATTAATTAGGATAAAAATTAATCTCATAGTAATTAGAATAAAAGCTGAAATGTTACCAATTGTTTCAATAATGTTAGAAATCGAATTCTGATTGCACAATGTTAGCTTGATTGTAGAGTTGTATAAGTTGAATATACAATATTTGCTTCCAATCTAAAAAATGGTGCAAAAAATTGAAAATAGAGCATCTCACACATATTAAAGAACTTCCTCCAAAAGCTAAATAATTCGACTCATATAACTTGAAAAATAATAACGCCTACCATACTAAGAATTGGATTTTATGTGACACAAAAATTATAGAAAACTCAAGTATAAATAAAACAATACTGTTCATTTGCATTTTTTGTCTTAGTTTTTAGCATGACTGACTAATAATTAGAATTAATTCATTTTCAGTTATGGTGTTAATGAAATGAATGAAACAATGCCAAATAGCTCAATAATGTTAGTAGTTAGAATAAAAACCGAAATGTTACCTATTGTTTCAATAATGCTAGTAATTAAAATGAAAATTACTCTCTTATTAATTAGAAGAAAAACTGAAATGTTACCAATTATTTCAATAATGTTAGTAATTGGGTTTTGATTGCACAATGTTACGCCTAATTGTAGAGTTGTATAAGTTGTATATACAATATATGTATACAATCCAAAAATGGTGCAAACAAATTAAAAATAGTGCATCTCACTTCATATTGAAGAACTTCATCAAAAACCTAACTAATTGGTTATGGTGTTAATGAAATAAATGAAATGTTACCATTTGACTCAAATTAATATTAATTAGAATAAAAATTGATATATTACTAATTGTTCCAATAATGTTAGTAATTAAGATGAAAATTACTCTCTTAGTAATTAGAATAAAAGGTGAAATGTTACCAATTGCTTCAATAATGTTAGTAATTGGGTTTTGATTGCACGATGTTATGCCTAATTGTAGAGTTAAAAAATGGTGCAAACAATTTAAAGATAGTGTATTTCACTTCATATTAAAAGAACCTCATTAAAAAGCTAACTAATTTTACTCATATGACATGAAAAATAATAATGTCTACCATACTAAGAATTAGATTTCATGTGAAATGAAAATTGTAGAAAACTCGAGTATGAAGAAAAAACAAATACTATTCATGTGCTTTGTTCTTAAATAATCAATAAATTGTAATTCTACAATTAAATTTTGTTTGTCTTAACCAAAAAGAAACAAGAAAAACAAAAAAAAATAATCTTATCGATATTGTAAGTATTTAATAATTTACTCAAATCTTAGTTTTCTAAGTTGTTAAACTTTGATAATTTTACTAAAAAGTCCATCGCAGATTTTATTTTCAATTGAGAAAAGACACATATGGACCTCGGGTTGATAAATGACAATGATCTAAGAAATCAATTCATGTAGTACTCTAATGGGTCTTTAAATATTTACTTTACTAACACTCACAAGATTAGATTTGCTTCTTCTACACTTGACGTGTGCATATATATTTCCTTTTTTAACAGCATTATTTTGTACTATCTAGAAAAGTGTAATCTTATAATTTATGGTAAAATATGATAGTGTTGACAATTGTTATCAAAGTTCAATTTAAAATTAATAAAAAAATGCTCAAAAAAAGCTTTAGGTCGAAGAGTTTAAATTTGAATAATCTTTATAGCCATAGTGGGTTAAAAAAAACTGAAAAGCATACAAAAATTTGTATTATGAGGTAGATAATCAAAATTTCACAACAAATTTTAGTATGTAGAAGGTGTTATATTTTGCACGTGAAATATAATTACTAGTGACCATAAAAGTACCATGGTGATCGTCTGACCTTTTTAAAATAACTAGTTTTTTAGGCCTCGCGCTAGCGCGAGGTTGCCCTAACTTGTGTTAATTTAATTTAATTTTATGGAGTAGGTTAAACGATGATAATTGGTAATATGATTGCATTCGATAATTAGAAAGTCTTTTTGTATAGAAGGTATAGATGTATCAGTGTATGTATATAGATATATACATTTAATGTAGAATGAAGATCAACTGATTCTTTAAAAACGTTGGATGAAAAAAATGTCAGATGCGTAAACAAAAGAAACCATAGTGTTTCGGTACTGTGTTGTCACATAAGAATATACACTACAACAAAAATGGCTTTTCCTGACATGTCTATAAGGACATTTGTTGGTTTTTGTCATTATAGTACCTCTATTATGACACTTATTATCAACTCAATAATATATACTTTAATTTTTTTAATTTTATCTGATATAAGAATAATAATGTGTCTTTAGACTATTTATTATGACACTTGAAAAAATGTTACTGTTCACAAGTTTTTTCGTCATACTCATGTGAGGTGCACGTGTTCCTTTTTCTTCTCTTCCCTAAGTAGGGCAAACACAAGTTCACCTCTTGTTTTCTCCTCCGCCGCTCTTGCTTTCCTTTCTTCCTCTGGCTCTCCAATCTCCAATCCCTCATCGCATCCTTCCTTTTTCTTTCTCATTTAAATTATTACATATTCTTCTCTTTCTTCTCGTTCTTTCCTTTTTTTTAATCAGAAAGGATAGCAATCAAACCAGTCATATTATACAACTCGAATCTCTTTAAAATTTCACATAATTTCTGGAGTGAGAAGGCCCATGGCATGGCGTTTTTTATCGTATTTTTTCCTCCAAAAGAGCAGCTATGGACAAGTGCCCAACCCAAGGGTTTCTTGGTCATCTCCCCCCTTTCGGCCTTCCTGGATCTCAGAGAAGTCTGTAATAGAGTAGAAGAAGGAACTTTAAAAAGACATTTTACTCCTGAACTAAATCAATCTTCGTAGAGTGACGTCATCAGCTCATGTGGCTTCAACGCCCATACCGGCAGCTCGGTGAAGGATTTCGTAAAATTCTCCTCTGTTGCGCTACACAAGGCTTCGGCCACATCGCACAGCCTTGCTACATCTCCAATTATAGATTTTTGGGCTTCCGTCTGCAAGAGAAGTTCATTGACAAGATGCTGGCAAGCGGAGTCCGACGATTGTTCCGGAGGGACTGGGGAAGTCGTTGTGACTCGGTAAGACGACGTAGCAGCGTCATCGGGTTGTCGATATTTTTGCTGCTGACTAATAACAATTGGGGATTTTTATGCTGACTAATAACAATTGGGGATTTTTGCTGCATATCCTTCAAGGTGTTCGACAAATGTACCCACTGTTCGATCTCTTGTTGGTACTTGTGTTTGAGCTTGAGAAGAGCTCTTTTCTTCCTTTGCCGGCGGTTCTGCTCTTCAACGGCCGGATCCGATAGTCCCGGTGCCGAAGTAGAGGAAGGAAGGTCGACACGAGGACGTTTCCTATGTTTGTAGACGAAACCGTCATCGTTGATGAGTTCCCACTCATCGTCAGGTTCCCAGCTCACTGGGGTGGTGGCCATTGGGCTTCTCCCCCTCGTTCTTTCCTTCAATTGCCAAGAAGGGTACGATTTCCTTAGGTTTGTCACTGCTTCGTTTTCCTTATACAATATTATTCGGTCCATATATGAACACGTAATTAGTTGGAACTATAAAAGATTTTAATTTCTTTTGAGAAATGTGGCCACTCGAAGTTTGACTTTTACTTTGATTTTGAACTGTCTTGCTATCTCGTGATCAATTTTCCATACGTTTCGTGTTCTTTAGACCCAATGAGTAACTACTGACTTTCTCCAGAAAGATGTGTACTTATTGCTTGAGATTATAAAAGAAGTAGAATGGTCATCTTCTTTTCTAGAAAAAGCCCGTGCATAGACGCAATGCCACTATGCAGGAGCAGGTGAATCAACATGCTTATTTGAATGGAAAGCAGAGATAAACCAAAATCTCACACCTGAAATATAGGCAATCAAGTGTACCAAATAGTTCTCGAGCACCAATGCTTATTTAAGACAATCAGAGGAAAACGAACTTGGAATCCAACAGAAAATAAAATAAAATAAAATAAACCACTTTATTTCAAACATATATATGTAGTACAAGAACAGGCCATCATAAAGGCAACAAAATGATACAATTGGATTCACAACAATATTGTTTAATGATGCATTGTTTTGTTGTTGCAGATGATTATTTGCTTTTGTCTAAGTTCATACTATCTTGATGCATGTTTGGTTAATGCCATTTCAGAAAAGGTTAACTCAGGGCGTTCCAATGCAATTATTCTGTACTCTGAATTATAGTCTTTTTAGTTTTGTCTTTTGGAAATTGATATGGTGTCCTTATTGGAAGTGTTACCGCACTTTTCTTCTTTCCTTCTGTTCAATTAAATCCCCTGTTTTATTTAAGTGACTGACAAAGTGGTTAGCTGGGATTTCGCTTAACCAATTCCAGAAATAACAACATTTAATAAGTGATTCAGAACATGTAAGATGATGTATAATTTTAAAAGAAGTTGCGAAAATTAAAAAAAAAGTAAGATGCGTTTATTCATATCCTTTGATTATCACAAGATGCGTTTATATCTGCAGGTAAATCATTTGAAGCTCAAGAACAATACAAGGAAGCTCTTGTTGCATTCTCAGTTTCACTCTCCATAGAGCCAGATTATGTACCAAGCATTGTCTCAAGTGCTGGAGTGCTGATAAAATTGGGTAGACAGAATCTTCCTATTGCAAGAAGCTTGTTGATGACTGCTCTCTAACTAGAGCCGACAAACCACCATGCGTGGTTCCTTCTTGGAGTGCTATCCAAGTCTCAAGGCTTGAAACAAGCAGCCGCAGATTACTTCCAAGCTGTACATGAACTAAAGCTTTCTGCTCCTGTTCAAGACTTTGCTTAACAACGCATTGAGCACCAAGGTTCCAGAGATAAAGGAACTTCTATTTGGAACTTTAAATGTTGGTTTTGGTTGTTATATACTGACAGTGTAGATAATTAGTTACATTAGCTGGTGTTGGTTTTGGCTTTTGATTAGCTATGTTAGTACTTGTTGCTGATTTTAGTTCAACAAATGATATTTGAGCATTGATTTTTGCTTTTAAATTACTACATGCATTCTGTTCTTTGGGATAATTTTACAAGTCCTTTGGGTATCTGATTGACGGAATGTATAGCAGGGAGCACAACCAGGTTGCTTCTTTATTTAAAAAAAAAAAAAAAAACTGCTGGCAGTTAATAGTGTCAGCATAGCTCAACGACTTCGACAATATCCTGACACTTTTGATTGTTAAGAAAAGAGATTTTTGTTGGCAGATGGGATGCTATAATAGCATAGTTTTCCTGACACATTGAATAGTACAAGTCTATCCCCACATTGGAAGGGACAACACTCACCCTGGGTGTAAGGATAGATAAAGTGTCAGGTTAGATTATCTATACTAACACCTTTAAATGCCGCTAAAGGCAAATTTTGTTGTAGTGATAGGTCGTTTATAATACGTATGGGTTTAAACTTTACAAAAGATTAAGTCACACTGGAATTACATTGTTGATGTGAGTTTATGAAAAAGGAGATCAATAATTTTAGAAGGAAGAATCTGACAACTTTGATCTTTTTACTGCGAAGAAAGCGGTCATATTGCTGGTTCAGAGCTCAAAAGGAAGCAGTGATTGCTCATAATATCAGTATATCAGAAAACCGTTTGTGTGTTGCTTGACTAAAAGAAAGGTCATAGATGAAATCTAGGAAATTGTTGTATTAAACTAATTGGAATCGTGAGACCAGACGAAGCTGCTGGATGATACAGAGAAAAATGAAAACGTCGGACGGGGAAAGAATCTAGAGGTCTCTCGTACCCTCAGGTAGTTATCAAGAAGCGTGATCGAGTAGGGATTGACCGTATTGGAAATTTTTTTCTAACTCTTTTGTAACGACGGTTGACTGATTAAGGCACAAGAATTTTGTTCATCTTCGAGGATGGTGCTGCGAAGGATGGTTGAAACTTGAGACTCGAGAGCAAGTAAAAAATGTTGAATGATTGCTTTCTTAATTATGATCAAGAGATATCTCAAGTATTCACTACCATTTAATAAAGTAGTTCAACGAACTTTCTCTCCTTCATTTCATATGTTCCAATATTTCTTCACTTGAGACAGTTACCTACGATCCGCAAGAAACGAACCCGTTTCAATCTTGTCCCTCTAGCAGGAACACTGCTGTCTAACCATTCTAATGACCTGCATTTGTACTCCAAAACGATTATCACGTCAAATCAAACATCATCATCTCTCTAGCTTACTTCGCAACAACAACATTAACTCCTGCTGATCCTCAATACTATGAGTCCTGCAAATACTCTCCTCCACTTGAGATAATTTTGTGGTACACGTGCATGCACATACTTGCTATAGAGAGAGATAGAGAGAGAACAATTGTCGCTGCGAATTCGAGAAAGAGTTAAATTTAAAGCATAACATGTCAGGCCGCATTCATCCATCGACAGCTCTAGCAGATATTGTGTTCTGGTACTGTGCCTTGTTCCTGGCTTTAAAGTTGGTGTTAAGCTGCTGTGAATCAACTGAGGAGGAGTTTGAAGTGCAACAGTAGAAGCAGCAAATATTATCTTCATTACTACTTGAACAGCCGTGTGATGAGATTCATGCGGTACGTGAAGGAGAGACTCTGCATACTATCAGTGGAAAATGTGGGGATCCTTACATCTTTGAGCAGAATCTCCATATTCATGATCCAGATGATGTTTTCCCTGAGTTAGTCATCAAGATCACCCCTTTCACAAATATGTAGATGTTTCTCCTTTTAACTTATTCTTAAGCTCGTATGTTTGTTGCTCCTTTGTTTTGTTGAACCGGATGTTGAGGTTCAATGCTAATAGCCCCATGGTCCTCTCTCCTCTGTTTTTCTTTTTCATGCAATATATTATTTTGATTGTGCGTGAACCACGGTCTGTGGCTGCTTGTCTTGCTAGTTTCTATGATGAAATATGCAATTGCATGTTACTATTTCATCATTTTCAACTTTTTGCTTCTTTCTCGCGGGAAGGCATAATTTCTCGAGAATAAGTTCAAACTTGTACTGTGTTTTACGGTATTGTTCATCAAGCTTTTGCAGTAAAACGAAGGATCAATAGACATAGTGAGACAGAGTAACGAGCTCTTCTTTCACTTACACTATAAAAGAAAAGAGGGGGGATGGAGTGATACACTCAGATTGATTTCAACCGTTATATGTAGTTGTTTTTAAACTGGTTTTTTTTCCCCTGGTTGAAATATTTATTTTAAGTTAAACGTTCCTTTGTTGGAACACAAGGGAAATCGTAGTGAAGAACAAATTCAGTTTATCATGAAAATTCTTGCTTCTCAAGGTAAAACAAAGCAAGAAAGCTAAAGTGGGAAAACAAAAATGTTGGGCTTGAATATAAAGTATGGAGTAGAGGTGTTGAAATGGGTGACTTGGGTGGGTTTGGGTTGGATAAAATGGGTAATGGGTATAAGTGAATTAACTCATTTATACCCATTTAATTAGATAGGTATAAATGGGTAAGTCAAAAAATGAATTGTGTAACTCAATTACCCATTTACAACTTATTTATTTTAACTTTTGGTAAACTCATTTAAATTTATTTTTGCAAAACAAGTTATCAATTTATACCACTCTTTATACCCATTATTAGTTTTAAATATTTATTTATAATGTTCAATAAATTTAATTATCAATTTTTTTCATTTATACTCTATGTTACAAAATTATCTATTATTTAATAATTGAATAATAAGAATATAAAAATTTGAACTAAGCACTATAAAAATTAATATAAAAATTTAATTCAAAAATTTTGAACTTATACCATCTATTCATGGACCGGTATAGGTAAATTTAATTAGGTGGGTTGATTTGTCACCTCTAGTATCGAGCCATTATAACAATTGGTTTGAGTTTTATTAATATTGTCAACAAAATGGCTACGAAAAATGAGTACGAATTTGGGTTAGATAAAATGGGTAATGGGTATAAGTAAATTAACTCATTTATACCCATTTAATTAGATAGGTATAAATGGGTAAGTCAAAAAATGAATTGTGTAACTCAATTACCCATTTACAACTTATTTATTTTAACTTTTGGTAAACTCATTTAAATTTATTTTTGCAAAACAAGTTATCAATTTATACCACTCTTTGTACCCATTATTAGTTTTAAATATTTATTTATAATATTCAATAAATTTAATTACCAATTTTTTTTCATTTATACTCTATGTTACAAAATTATCTATTATTTAATAATTGAATAATAAGAATATAAAAATTTGAACTAAGTACTATAAAAATTAATATAAAAATTTAATTCAAAAATTTTGAACTTATACCATCTATTCATGGACGGGTATAGGTAAATTTAATTAGGTGGGTTGATTTATCACCTCTAGTATCGAGCCATTATAACAATGGGTTTGAGTTTTATTAATATTGTCAACAAAATGGCTACGAAAAATGAGTACGA